CACCTTGCTAATTTGAACAAGGCTTTATTCTCATATTTGTCCCAGGCAAAACTGTAGCAAGCTTGTTGGCCTCCTCCTGGCGTCATTAGCGCAGCAATGCTGGCATTCATGGCCTGATGATGTCGGGGGTGCCCAAGGGGGGGGCTCCTGGCAACGGGGGAGACACCATCTCTGGCTGGCTGGATGGCTCCAGTCCAGCAAGGTCGGTGAAGTGAGTAAATTGCGCATTTATCTTCCTGTCCTGTCCTGTGTCCCGAAGGCTCGAAAAACTAACGATGAGATCAGCTCAGTTTACTCCCAAAAGTCCTTCCTCGGTGTTGAACGCAAATCTGCAATATTCTGCTGTGAACGGCAACAGGTTAATCGAGCACGACGTTGTTTTGACCAAAAACCATTTTCGGGCCAACTGAGCGACTGCGGATGATGACGGCTGAACCAAAGGACGTTCAGAGGTTATTAAATATTGAAAAGTGATCGTAAACTGAACAATTGAAAGCAGCTCTGGACACGTGCGGCAGCTCGTTACTTGGCGCCCGTGCGCTGCGCTGCGGAGGATTTGTTTCGATTCCGACATGCGTGTGTCGAGGACGCCGCTCCCCTAAAGTGGGGGGATGCAAATCATCTCCCGTTTGTGAAGAGATTAAGTCAAAGAAGATAGCGGGCTGAATTGACGCAGCAAATATTTCACGGTGGGGCGGACGCGCGGGAGGATTTGGAAGCGGCGCTGCGGCTAAATGGATGCTCAGAAAGACTTGCTTGACTTGAGCGCTGATGTGATTAGTCCCGCGGGGGCGCCGCCGCTTCATACGGCGCTGTTTGTGTATGAGACGGCAAGAGAGGGGTGGGGGGGCGTCCAGGTAAACAGCCCGTGTACACAAATCCCTCCTGTGCTGGAGGCTCCTCGAGCTCGGGGCCGCGCCACGTAGCCTGGCGTCCGCGAGACCGCTGCCAATAAATATTGAAAGATTGAAAAAGTGCCGCCCGGCGCACCAATAAAACCAACAACAGCATCAACCAATTATTGCTCACATTGGACTTTGTACCGATGATCTGATCGGTGGATATTTTGCATTCTATTCAAATTTTTGGATCGGCTCCAACATCAGGGGCACACGTGGGCATAAAACACGAGGAAGAGAGCCGCTCACTCCACCAGGCCACCGTGCTGCCGTCCCTCAACTTGATTTTGGACTTTTTGTCAGATGAAACCTCGGGTGACCTCCCCCAAAGCTCAATTTTGTGCTTGAACGCACACAAGAGGAGGAACAGGTACATTTTCATCAGAGTGTGTTGTTGCTTTATCTCTCACGATAGGAAAAAAAAAAAATGAAGCGGGGGAGGAGAAGACAACAACAGCTGCTGGCTCACGCTCGGACTTGTAAACTTCGATAACTCGTTACACTTTCCACTCCACATATTAAAAAAAAATTTGGCTCTGGGGAGGGGAAAAAAATCTGACAGTATGAGAATGGTCCTGATTGAGAACCTGGAGAGGACAAGCTCGCCCCCTGGTGGAGTACATCCTATAGCCTGAAAATGTAACAAAAACATTTCCTGCCGTAAAAATGTTGCTTGGTGAAAAAAAGTAATTTGGTGGAAGTGCCCAAAGACAGCCTGCTGTACTTGTGCTATCTTTTTCAAAAAGACTACAGGCTGGAAATGCCGCATCAACTTAACATCGATCCGTTCCAGAAACAGTCGTGCATCATGATTAATTCATTGCGGCTCCTGGGGGGGGGGGACTTATGTGACAGACATCCGCACACAAGCAAAGAAGACTTGCGCAACTACTGTAAATGATTCTGTCAGTGGGTATTGCTGTCCTGCCTGCCTGTCATCGTGTGTTGATGCTTCACGTGTGCTCAAATATCTGTTCCATCAAGCTTTAGGGCACCGCCACACGGATGCGATTCATTAGCCAGTCTATGGCATTTCGCTATTCTTGCTAGCATTGAGCTAAGTAGACTCGAATCAGAAGAGTCGAGTCCACTACCACGAAACAGCGGCTCGTATCTCAAATTTTGGCTCACGATTCGAACCAAAACAATAGTCTGAACAACGGCTCGTATCTCGAAGCACTCGTAAGTTCGGGCACTCTTATCTCGAGGCGCGCTGTACTCTGTCCTTTTTGTCAAACAGACAGACAGACATACAGGTGGCAGCACCGTAGACAAAATTGGGCTCAAAAAAAATATGGAAAAAGAGGAATGTTCCGTGGCCGTAGTTAGCGGGTGACACGTAGCCGCATCACGCGAGGGCCACAGAGTTAAAACCAAAAGACAAATATTGCGAGGGGGAACCGAGCCGCGATGCTTTGCGGGGATTTTCCATGCGGCACGCGGGACCTCGATGTGGCCGCGCTGCCTGCGTTGCCGGGAAATCGATTATTTAGTCAGTCAACACGGCAGCGCGCTCACGTGACTCAAGACGGGGTTGTGTTGTTAACTATGCTCCGCCGCGTGACACATCGGGTGCGCTCACAAGCATTCACCGCTCACCTACACCTAAGACGTCCACTGAAAATGCCGTTGTTGTGATCGGTGGCCGATTTCAAACACAGCGAACAGTAATTTCAGTCGGGGGGGTGAGGGAGTAGTTTAAAATGTCAACTATTGACTTTTATAGCGCTAATGTTAGCTAGCACAACAAAGCAAATTGTTTGCTCCAAAAGAATTCGCCCGTTTTTTTAGCAAAACTTAAAAATGTCAAATTGAACTTTAAAGTTTGAGTGAACTTTTTTTTAAAAACCGTATTAGCGAAAAGGAATACGATCTGTCAACTAGTACAGGAGCACAGCACACTCCTCCTCACGCTTCTGAATGTTATTTCGGGGCGATTCGGTAACGCTTACACGTGAGCACAGCATCCTCCTCCTCTCATGTCAGACGCCACGCGCCGATGACGATGTTGGGGCAATTACACATCATTTTCTTCAAACTCTTCACTTTTTCCTTCTCGGTCATACGATGGCTGCAATTACTGCCATTCAAGTCTGGCGTAATTGCAGCTTTTAGTGCGGCGGGTTCAGCAGTGCAGTTCGCCGTGCACATCGTGTACACAGACGACATCCACAACAGACTTTTTTTTTTTTTTTAACCCCTCAGATTGACAGAAATATAGAATTTCCAACATTACGCAGCCAAAGAGGAAAAAGTGGACAGAGAAAGAAAATGGGGGCACTAGCACTAGCTTGTTTAGGCGTAGCATTAGCGTGCTAATAGCTAATATGGCCTTGTAATAAAAGTTCATTTCATACCCAAAAAGCTTTACCCCCCCCCCCCCCCAGAGGAAAACACACTCACATTCACACCTGTGGAAAATGTCGATTCTTCAACAAAGCTAACATGTCTTGCAAATACGGAAGGAAGCCTGTGACGTTTCTCCAAGACTCGAACCCCCAAAAGTGAGACTTGAGAGGCAAACGTGCCACCCACTCGTCCAGCGTGCTGCCTGCATGCCATGGCGGCTCTCGCGGTCTTTATTTGCAAGCGGGGTCAATGCAACAAAGCCGCATGTTCATCATCCTCGTCATTTAAATGAGTCATCATGTTTTTCAACACTCGCAGCACGTTTCAGCATCTTGATGGCAACAAAGTGGCCCTCGTTTGGTCGCCCGGCAACAGCAGCCGAGCACCTGAATGGTCTTTTCACACTAAGTGAACCTCATCAAGCTCACGTTTGAGTCCCCCCGAAAAAGTTGCGACTGCGCTAAAAGCTTCTAATTGGCCGACAGGGTTCGTGTCTGTGACTCAGAGCAGCGTGAATGCGAGTCAAGCAAGGACGCGCACGAGCGGGTCAACAGGCGACTCTCGTACACTCGAGATGGACAGTACGTGTATCGGCCCTTCCGAACGTAACATGAGCATACTTGCCTATACTTGCCTATGATGTCACATGTTACAAGTGTGGTGATGTAAGACTCAACGATCACATTTTACGCCGATCTGGGTCATCATGGCGACAACAACAAGGCGCTCTAAAGCACCAAACCTGAAGCCTCTGATTTACTACACATCCTATTTCATGATGAACAGTTCCGGTATTTCTGGAATCCAGCAGCCGATGAATTGGCGAAGTAGCGCCAAAAACTCACGTGGATGTTGCACAGCTTCTTGCGTCCTCTCTCCAGTCGGCCGAGCAGCTTGAGATGGCGTTGCTCGGCGCCGGCCGGCCGCAGCAGTTGCTCATCCACCGACAGCGTTTTTCTGACCGGCGGCCGCTCACCAGCCCCGCCCCCCCGGCGGCCCCTCGCCAGTTCACCAGGACCACCTTCCTCCTCCTCCTCTTCGCCAGGGTCAGGTGACTGCAGCGAACCTGCAAAGGGGGGAAAGCGGAGACGGCCTGGTGTCAGCCGACACGCTTGAGATGCAACGAAACTGATCTTGTTCTTATGTACCCCTCAAACCCCCCCAAAAAAAGATTTTCTTGAAATATCACATTCGATAATGATGTACTTAATAAAGGCAGGCTGTTGTGCATCATGATTAATTCATTACAGCTATTGGTGTGTGTGCGACATGGCCACCAGTGGGCAGTATAATACAATCATGAAAAAACACACACACACACACACACACACACACACACACACACACACACACACACACACACAATTAACAAGCAATTCACTTGCGCTACTTAAAACACGTGCGTCAGTTAATGTTTTTAAGGCTATTCGGCCGCAGACAATGGGGCTGTTAGGAAGGAGCGTGTCGTGACAAGTTTGACACGTCTTTCCGCCCAGGTAGCTTCAAGTTTCCACTTTGTGAGCATGTGTGCGCGGGCGATCAAATGTCTGACGGCTGCGCTCGCATTAAAAGTGCACGAGACGACTCTGTGACACAACAGCAGGAGGATGAAGGCCTCGCTGTGCAGCAAAACACCATTCGTTGATTACCAGCATCTGCAAAACTGCACAGTGGTACATAAAAACAGACAGCCCCCACCTCCACCCCCCCAAAAAAAATGACAGAGAATGTAATGACATTTTTTGCTTCAACGGCCATTATGCTACTACTCCTTGTCTGCGCAATTTCCACTCACTGTTCACTCTGCTCTGACAAACTTTGTCAGGAGATTTGTCTCCCTCAGGTGGACAGATGACTTAAAAAAAAGCCACAAAAAATTGCAGATTACAGTCATCACCTGCACATTGAAGAAAAGGGAAAAAAAGAAAAAGGAGAGGTGTCTTTCTTCCCCCACTTTGCACTTCAAATGCTCAAACCATCCACTCTGCTCTGTCAGACTACATCATTAGAAAGATTTGTCTCCCTCTAGTGGAGAGCTAGGTAATTACACACAATTACCGTTGATTGTCTCCAATTTATTTTGTCATTTTGGAGGAATTGTTATTCCCTGAAATGCTCACGCCTTTGTGTCTCTTTTTTTAAACAACACATCAATTATTACATTTGTTAATTCAATTAAAAAAAATCAATCAATACATTTTCATGAAAAAAGGCTGAATTAATGCAACAAATATTACAGGATGTCAATGTTGCGAGCAGGCCGTATTGGGCCCGTGGGCCATACTTTGCCAACCCCTGACCTAAATCATCGAGAAAAAAAAAAGGCGGCAGACCAAAAGTTGAGCCAAGATGCACGACAGGAAACTCATTAACGTTCCTCTGACGGGTGGCGCTGACGAGAGTGGCGGCGTAATCGACACAGGAAGTCTCTTGCTTTGATAAACAAAGCGTGCATGCGTGTTTAGACTCAACATTCTTCACTTGTCTCCACATCCGCTTTCTGCCCATCGACCGTGAGCGCATGAAGAAAATGCTCCACGCGCTCAAATCAAGCCATCATCAAGATACGAGATTTGGGACTCATTCCCTACTCCGAATCATTGTTTACTGATTTTTGAAAGGTGGTCCTAGACAGTTTCCGAGTCCTTCCCTACTCCCTCGTCACGAAATCGGAAATGTTTCTAACGTCACATCCCACCTGTCGACTTCCAGTGAAGACCTCCGGGACTGGCGGCCAGGCGGCGGCGCTTCCTGATGCTGACGGCTGCCGAGGCGGCATTGGGCGTGGACGAGAGGATGGGCAGCAGGAAGGGCGTTTCCTTGCCCAAGGGCGGGGCCAGGAAGGCGGTGCCCCTCTCGGGAGTCCTGGCGGAGGGTCAACAAATTGCTTCATTGCCCGGACGCTTCTTGTAGCACACTGACATCAAACCTCTGATGTAGTCTATGGTCATCATATTTCATGCCTCTCAACGTACCACATTTGCGTAATTTTAACGTCATGTATGAACCACAAATGAGATGGATTTGCATCAAATGTTTGAAATCTTGGCCGGCGTACGACACGTTGCCACTTCTCTCCCTCATAGCCGACGCGACGAGCCGCGCTGATCTCAAAACCAATGTGATGCGACGCTGCCATCTACTGGCATCGATTGCCATTACAGTTATGGATACGTTTGAATTGAGCAAGACCCGCTTCCGCGCTTACCCTTTGGAAAACGTACTAGGTGAATATTCGGCGGTGGCGGTAGACGTTTGGATTCCGGTTGACTTTGAACATGAGTTAATATCTATTGGCAGTGTTGGCAGTGAATGAGTCAGAGATTGGACAAGAGTCCTTCGTCATCCTTGAATCTCATTTCTTCATGTAAGCGAGACCTTTTGGACAATGGTATGCTTCCAACTTTGTGGGAAATGTTTCGGGGACTTCCTTTTTTCTTTTTTTTTTTTTTCATTCCCAAAGTAAACTCCATGAAGGGTTTGGATAAATTGGAACCTTCTGACCTCAAAATGCTTTTGGAGACAAATTCTCACGGACACGGTCCAAAAGGCTTCCCAAAGGAGGGAAAAGTCACTGCTCTGTGATATCAAGTTTTTTGTGGGGCTTGTACGGAAACTGGCAGACCACATGAACGTGAATCCCCCGTTGATCGGCATCGCGTTTATCTTCCCAAGCTCGTCGCAACCGAAGAAGCCAGAGGCATTTTCACGGTGTGAACCCACAAAAACGCACTTTGTAAAACAAATCTCACCACACAAAACAAACTGCAAGCAAAACTGTATCAAATCAATCTCGAATAATTGATGGGCTAAGCAAGAGAATGATTGATTCCAAAAATAGACAACGCCTTCAGTGGAGAGTAACGAAAAGAAGCGCGTCGCTCTGGTTCATACCTGGCGTCTGAGACAAAGTAACTGCGACTTCGCCACGAGCGCCGTTCGCAACCGCCCTTTTTTTTCCTGCGCAGGAAAAAGTCCAGCAGCTCGGTCCAAGTCAACATAACGTTTGCGACCGAGATGGCGGCCGAGTAAAAAGTACACGGTCAAAAAACGGCCTACCAGTTCCATCACAACTCACTGACTTGAAAGGGGAAATGATTCCTTCGGAGCGGCCATCAGGATGTTGGCTGACTCATTGGCGAGCGTGCAACAAGAGCGGAGCGCTTAAGTGCCGCGGTGGCGATATGCCGCTTATCAAGTGCGGCCCATCGGCTCTTTGTGCCACCTTGAAAAGAAAACGTCCAAACGAGCCGGCCCAGAGTCGCTCCTGGTTTTGCCTTTCATCAACGCTTCGCCACGCACAACACTACCGCGTTTAATTCTGTTCAATATCTACACAAAAGTGTCCAAACCAAAGGAATAATTCAATAATATATAGTGAAATATACACGATTAAAACTGATAGGTCCAAAAAAAATAATAAAATTGGAGTGACCCACTACTTGGGTGAATTTATGACCCGATTTCCACAAACAGCATCCAACTCGTATGTGGGTCCGTGTGTGTTACCTGTCAGCTGTGCCAGCATCGCTGCAGGTGGAGCGTCGGCAATTGGAGGCGCAGGACAACGACGACGTCGACGACGACAAGGTGCGGGTAGAGTCCAAGAGTCTGGGCAGCAGGAGCGAGGAGGGCATGCACAGCCACGTCTCCAGGTCCGAGAACTTGGAGCAGCTCAGCATCTCCAAAACGCTGCGAGAGGAGCGCCGGTTTGGTCAACGACACTCATGGCGAAAGTGCTCAAAAGTGCTCAATAGAAGAATCAAACCCACCGAGACGAACAGCAGACTCTCCTCTTACAACAAAAAAAAAAAAGAGTTTTTTTTTCGGTTTCACCAAAAACAGTGGCTTTTTTTAAACACAGGTTCGCCATTGACACTATGAAATTTGTCATCTTCTCACACATTGAGTCGGCGTGAGCCCGCACTACTTAATGCAAAAATAGTTTCTGTCGAAAGCATTGAAGTGCTTAAACTTGTCCCACTTTCAACGTGTTGCCACTTTCCTCCCTGATTATCAACGTTAGAAGCAGAGACACAATGTTTATCTTCTATTCAAAAGCTGTGCTGATCTCAAATTCAAAACAATCCAACTTCCATCACTGGTTTATAGTAAAGATACGACCCCACCACCATCACCACCACATCCACTACCTCTCCTCTCCCGTTGCCTGAGCGTCATCATCTTTGTCGTCGGCCGCTTGGAAGACGCAAGAGATGCGGGAGTCTCGCGAGGACAACAGCACGCAGGAATTCTCAGAATCCATCGACATCTTCAGCCATATCTGCATGGGAAGACCAGCAGAGACACAACAGTTAGCCTTCACAATATGGATTTATGTTCTAATTTAGTTGTTAACGTTGGGGGGGAAAAAAAATCACCTGTTGCTGAACCTAGCTCCCAACCCAGAAATACTACTCATTACATATTATGTTATTATTAATATGAAACGCTGGTCGACTAGAGAAAAAAAGTACAAAAAACATACGGAAAAGCTGACTAAATAAAAGACTACCAAAAAAAAAAAATGTTGACCAACCTAACGCCAAATCTGGCACGTGACGTAATCACGTGAAATTACGTGTACCGACGTGCAATGACGAATTTGGCAATTCTGACGCACCATGACAAACTCTGTCATGTTTGTCGTGGCTCTCAGTATTTTCTTTTTTTCTTTTGGTCTGAACTGTCCCCTTGGGAACGTATCGTATTTCTGCAGTTACAATGTTCCCATAGTTTCGTCAAAGAATTTAACGTGAGCTGGCATGTGACGTAACGACGTGAACTGACGTATTGCGGCGTGAAACGACGTGTACTCTTCTGCCAAGTTTGACTGACGCGTACGAGCCGGGGCGCCAAGACAAACTTTGAAAATGAGCATTTCCCTTGAGGAAAACAAATAAAAACATTTCAAACTTTGACGTCCCAGTCAATTAAAGGAGGAAACTCACTCGACATTCATCTTGCCGAACGTTTCCGCAAGATTTGGCCTCAAACGTGAGCGTTTCAATCCTGAAAAAAAAAAAGAAAAGAGCTTCTTGCTTACCGTCTTGCGGCGTCCTTTCGTCGGCGTCCGCTGCGGTGTGGCTCGGCCTCGTTTTCCCGGAGCTGTAACATTTGCTCCGGCTGGGCTGTGGCCTGCTAACGTGTCTCTTGTCCCGGCCCGAGTAAAACATCCCCAAAACTACGGAGTGGGCTCACATTTCATTGCGGTATCTCCGCCGCACGAAGGCCCAGGCAGTCCGAGTTGGGCCAACAACATCTGGGGGCCCGCGGCCGCGATCCCACACGGCGGCGAGGCGCACTCGTCGGGCGCGCAGCCAGCCTCACAAAACCGCCGGGGAGTCAAACAGCCCAAAATGTGAACTTGTGTCGCTTCAAGAGTTACAGTCAAATTTATGGGAAGCAATGGAGGGGCGAGACTGCAAGGGAGCGAGAAAAAGGACGCATGAGAGGAGGGAAGGACACTTGACGGAGAGGGAAAAGTGGCAAAAGAGCACCAGTGGAAAACAAAATGAAATACTAGGAGCAGAACGCGAATAATAAAATAAGAAATGTGGAGAAACTGAAGGAATTAGTGAGCAGGGAGGATGAGGAGTGTCTCGTTCGTCAGTTGCTTTGAAGCTGAAATGAGGAGGGGGTGGCAAAAAAAGAATCGTCAGCATGACAGATAAGAGCAGACAGGAAGGAGACACACACACACACACACACACACACACACACACACGCACGC